TGTAAAATATTCAAAGTTATTCCTCTGATAAAATTTATCAGGCGTAAAAAAATCAGCCATTAGTCTGTATAGATTATATCTATAGTTTGACTAACATCGCTGTACCCTTGTTGTATGGGGCGAGGTGGAGGTTCAGAAATGGAATCTTTTAAGTTCACCATAAGGTTGATATTTGGACCGAATAAAACGTAATAGTCGGTACTCCTAAAGCGCGATGCAGTCAAGAAAATACTTCTGTACCCTATCAGTCCAATAGGCATGTATAGTAACATCAAAAATCTATGCAACGCACATATTATATGAATATCTAATACATAATAAGATTACAATATTAAATATGTAGTTTACAAAATATCCTAGATATTCTTATGTACTTAGTATTTACTCTTGACTCGATTTTCACAAAATCGAAAATAGATTAAGCGATGAAATGTACAGTACCTAGTCCTACATAAAATGTAATAACTATATTGGTAATGGTACAATGAGGTTTTGTTGCAATCTTATAATATTATACTTTTAATTAAGTATTATTATTAGTATCTTATTATCTTAAAATCGATAGTACACAGTAATCTCATTAACAGCTAATAGCTAGTGGAATAATTTAATGACTTAGAGAGTCATAAGAATGAGTAAATAAAATAATCTTTATACATATAATTCTTCTGTGAGTGTGTACGTCACTGAACTTCTCTCAAACGACTGGACCGATTTTGATGAAAGTTTTTGTGTGTTCAAGGGGATCTGTGAATGGTTTAGATTCACAAATCAGATCGGCAGATGGCGCTGCAGGCAGTGTCTAGGTTAGTTATCCTAAACGGCTGAACTAATTTGAATGAATTTTTGTTTATACATTCAAGTGGATATGCAGGACAACGTCTGTCGGGTCCGCTAGTGTTTTTCTATAATTTCAATTGCTCTATTTAAATAGAAGGGTACCGTATTTTGTTCACCAGGTAGCATTAGTGCGGTGATCGCGTTCTTCTTCCAATGGAGAATTACCTAGTTTCACACGAGCAATCGTGTGTGCAAATATGCAAATATTTGACAGCTGCAGTGACTTTGAATTTTGACTTTTTTATTACTCCTTCGCGTCAAAAACAGCTGAAGGGTTCAGGATGAAATTTGTAAAAGTGGTAGGTTATGGTCTGATATAACATATACTACTTTACTTTTTATCCTATGAGAATGTGGGCGAAGTCGCTGGCATAAGATAGTGTAGGAATAAGAATTAACGAAGATGGTATTAACTGCTCCGTATAACTAGATGTATGAGCGTGAAGCAAAGGTAATTTAGGTATGAATCGTAAAAGGTTTTTTCAAAGTTGTTTACAGAATTTTAGACTTAGTAGCTAAATTATAAGATTGATAATCTATTGAAGCATCTTATAGTATAGAGAGCGTCTACAGAAGTCTTCCATCACAAAACGAATGACTATTGGTACACTTTTTTCTTTGGCAAGAAATAACTTCTATCTCTTTCTGTTCACATTTCTATCTGTTTATGTTCAAACAAAAAAGAATTTTCTTAAGGAAATCCTTCATGAAAACACAGATAATCACACATTTTGTTAAAGACAAACTTAATGATACTTTAATAATCTTAAATAAGTGAGGTTCAACTATAACATACTGGCACACCATAACATGTAAGAATCACACACGTATTAAAGTTTAATAATTAAACAATTGGGTACTTTCCAAATAATCACATTCAATACTATAGTCCATCTGTTTAGGTAATTAACTAAAGGTAAACAAAGAAAACCACGTGACACAGAGATACTTAACCTACTATTACTTCAAATATTTCTCGTGTTTTAATTTTAACCAAATTCACTTTAAACTCGTTCATTTGTCATACACACAACACAACTACAAATGCCTAAATCGTACAAGAGCCTTGCCTATGGGTCTATTTCATTATCATGTTTAAATAGAAACTATTCTGAATCTGATGTACGGATTTCTTTCTTGTACGGATATGTGTCTTTGGGCCAAGTTTCTTCAAAATATTGGAACACATTAATTACAAACGATGAATAACCTAAACTTGAATAACTTAATAACGAAAACAAAACAAAGAAACAAGATAAATTCAAGAAAATAGGAACGCGAGCGCAAACTACGAGAGAGCTGTCAATGGCGCCTGATTAACCGACTAAACGTAATACACGCTACTTTCATTGTCGCGCTACATCTTAGTTGTACTCTTTAATTTGACAACATTATATTGCTTCGTTCTTAAAGAAAAGTTTTGGATACCTGGGATTTTAGGCTCTTTATGGTGTCTATTGTAATGAAATATTATATTATTTAATAAATGTTATTAAATTAATATCCTCAAGCAGATATATATAATATTTACTAAGAAATAAGTGAAAAGGAACAGAAACATAACATTTAATAGAGAAAACTGTCGTAAAAACGGAAACAATTTTATTTTCTTATGAATTATTTTGAATCATGGAAATGTCAACTATAAAGAACTCTTTTTATGGTTTGTTTACAAATAGTTAACTACCTAAACAGACGGAGCATAGTTTTGAATTGGAAAAAATTGGTTTAAATACTTTCAATACTAATTTTAAACTGTCAAAAACTAAAGTATTCTGTGAGTTTTGTACGAGATTGTGCTGTGACCGTAATATATTGAATCTTAGTTAGAAAAAAAAACAATTAATTAAAGTATACAAAAGTATGATTATTTGTACCGGACTATATTGTTAAATAATTATTGTTTTGAAAAGTCAAAACCATTTATTTTTGACTAAGGAAAGTACCGATTTTTATCTAATATTACGCTAAATACTAACTTATTACAATATGTACTGTATACAGTCAAATATTCGGAAGATGTCGATTCTACTAATAATTTGAAAAAATCTAAAGTTCGAGATGTCATCCATACACACCAATCATGATTGTGGGCTCCGTTGTGGCTTGAAATTAGTTGACCATCCTCGAACAGTGAATAAACCACATCTTTCGATCAGTGATTATTTCAAATCACGCAAACAATTAGTAGAATCAAACATTAAAGAAAGTTAATAATTCGTTTGGAAATTAGAACTTTAACTTAATATTATAATATGTAGAAAATCAGTCCCTACTATCTAGACAGATTTCCGCTGAAATACTCAAACGTCACTCAATTTTTAGTCGCGCTCAGACATAGTTCTGTCGGTATAAATTCTATGTAAAATGACAGAGATGGCATGATATTTAGTACAACTTCAGATTGAGTAGCGTTTCAGTATTCGGGCGATAAAGCCTAAAAAGTAGATAAGTAAGTATACCGCCATATATAAAGTATTAAATGCGACGTGAGCAGAGTTACATTTTGAGCATTACGTCAATTTACGTTAAGAAACTGTGAGCTATTCGATATTATTTCGCGTTCGTGGGTTTTAGTGGTGCGACCAATGTTGAAGCACGCCCAATAAGTATTTTATTCATTTGAGACGTGTCCCGTTTTTCGATAACTTCAAAAATCGCCTAGCCATTGGCGAGTAAGATTAGGCAGTGTGGGATTGTTACCTCACTAAAACCTCGCTGATGGCCATCATCTGCATCTATTAGGGTCACTAGGTCCTCTTGATCGATCAACCCTGGAGCCCTCACGGCGCAATGTCTGTTCCGACACATCCATAAGGAACCCTACGTGTCCCTTGAGCCTCGTGCATACATGACCACTGTGGCACAATCTTTCCTGAGGCCAACTACTTGCGCCTTTACCAGCACTAATTCAGACGCCTTCAAGAACGGGATACGTACACCAGTACCACCACCAATTGGTACATATAACTTTGAGAACAATACCTACAATCTACATGTTATTTTGGCACATGTCAAAAGATTATTTATTTATTTTTAGCCATGGTCATCCCACTGCAGGGCAAAACCTCTCTACCCTCCTTCTACTCATCTCTTCCTAAAGCTATACTAAGCTAAATTATGTCAAATGATTCCAGGTGAAAAATGCTATCAAATCTCCAGTTGGAATATAAACATGCGAATACCTTAACTACTCTCTTAACACAAAAGAATTGAATAATATAACTACATGAGACATGTAGATAGTTAAGTTTTACTCAAACACTGGCGTTCTGAACTCCTTTTTTACATCAAAATCACACGTAGAATCACCCAATCCTAGCAACTATGTCGCAATTAACCTAAACAACTTTGTATCGTAATTCAGTTACAGTGATGGTACGAAAAGACCAACAAATCACAATGCACATTGATTTAATAATAATTTTAATCAAAACACATTTATTACCTTTCGTCCGAAAGTCACTTAATATCAAAGTCCGAACAAGTTTGTGCTACAAAAGTAAAAAAATATATCGACATAACAATCGAGATTCTTTAGAACTATGACGAGATAGACAAACGGATTCCTTAAATCTATATGTACTTAATTTTAGGTACTAAAATAATAATGACTCCGATTTTATTCTAGTGGGTTGGTAATATGCGCGGTATTTTTAAACAAACCAAAAAATGTTGAATATGTTGAAATCACAAAGAATTAATTTATAGGAAAGTATTCAATTAACTTTGGCAGCAAAAAATATAAGTAAAAACATCCTGAAGACAGAGAAAGAAAACTTGATTAATAAATCAATCCTATTTTACATTTAAAATCCAATCACTCAATTGACTTTGGTATAATGTATTCTCTTATTCAATCACTTATTCGATTCAAAATTAACTTAATTTTAAAAGGTGGGAGAAATTTGCAGGCGGTGGGTTAAATCACAATAAATGAAGAGGTGAGGTTCGATAGTTTGATGAGGAACAAACATACAATGGGTACATGATCAAACATTCAATAACTAGATTAGATCCACATTTTAGTTAATAATAATATAATACTATTTGCTGCCATTTTTATTGGCAGCCTTTTAAATGCCAAACTAAAAATACCACGCAAATTACACGAAAAATCACAACGTAACTTTTTATGTACTTGTTAGTGCTAATACTGTTTACAAGAAGTACAATTTGTTAGCTAATGTTTCAGCTGGTTCTTGATGTATGCTACTGCCAACTAGAGATGCCAGTTTATGTGCATACTGGCACGGGGCTGGCACTCTGACTGTGCCAGGCCAATTGTAGTACAAATGGCATAATTTGTATGTCAGTCTTTGGCATTGGTCTGGCGTCATATCACTGTCGTCGTGGACTACTACGTAATGTGTAGGGGTCACTGTACCTTGGTTCACCTTCTGTGATACTATTAGGAAGTCGTACCTGGAATTGAGAAAATTAATTTAGTAATATTTTATTTATAAAAGAGGTTCTAAATGAGCAAAGTTGACAACTAAAAGTGTGGTTAAATGTGGGAAAGCCATACTTCGGCACGAATGGGCCGGTTCGACCGGAGTGATACCACCGCCTTACAGGAAACCGACGCATGTAACAACGCTTGCGTTCTGAGGAGACCGGAGGCCCAATTATCACCCTCCCCAATCTCCCTAATCCTCGAATCCCCAATAATCCTCAAATTCCTAATCCCCAAAAGGACGGTAACGTACTTTTTTATTTATTTATTAATTCAAAAAGTATTAAGTCATAATGAAAGTAACAATAAGTATTTAGGCTTATACAGTCGGCAATTATAGGTAACCAACATTTAATTAATTAAGTGATAATAAAAACTATAGATACAAAAATGAACGAGAACAATACAATTTTAATTTATCAAAAAGATGTATCTATTTATTTATTTATTTATTTATTTATTTATTTTACTACTAACGATTACTTGTAACATCTCTAGGGTTTCGGATCAGGCGATTTACCTGCTTATTCCATTACAAAAAAAGTTCCAAGTCTAATGTCAAACCAACCTTTTTTCTTAGGACGATTTAGAAAATAAATAGCTTTTTATATTCCACAGCTACATTTTGAACCTCCTCGAGGATTTGCCATTCTCCATGATTAGCCAGATAGTTAGTAGATCGTTGTTTAAAAAAAAACAGTCAGAATACGATTTCAACGCTAAAAACAAACAAAAATACATAGTAATACACTTACCAATCACGTCTAGTAATATCATGGTCCACAATAGTTCCCGGGTTAGGATTTTCCAGCCCACCTGGTGTCTTCAAAAATATTCTCGTGTTGATACGTTTCTGTACCACTAAATAAGTTATTACCGGTACAGTTCTGCCTTCAAATGAAGATAAGGAAATCTGCATTTGTGGAATTTCGAAGTCCTTTATCACTTTTAGTTCACCGTCACCTACACCGTCTCTGAAGAAGGAATTATATTACATGTAATATTTATATGACACAGGAGAAGCACAGCATGTACCAACGAGTTATATGTACTTTTTAAGATTATATAGACACCACTGGCAAACAGTGAAGTAAAAAAAAAGTGAAGAAACCTGGACTTATAATTTCTAATTATAAGTTTGAACTCGCCAACCCGTATTGAGCAAGCAAGCAATGCTCAAACCTACCCCGTGAGAAGAGGCCTTTGGCCAGCAGTGGAAACTTATAGGCTGTTGATGATGATGATATGAGTGTCATGCAATAGGGTACTAGTCCATTGCCATACACTGATCACAATACCGGCTCTAGACTTCCAATACTACTGAGGAGAAAGTGGAAAGGATTTGAGGAAACCTTCAATACGAGATTGGCGAATTTAATTTAAGGTCACACCTCTATAAAAACTTAATTTCATTGAATAAACAAATAAGAAAGCTGATAATATTATCTTTAACAGATGAAGCGTACTAGCGTCACCGGCTATGATGTTCTTCTAATACTGATAATTTCGAAATTGAAATTTTCTTAATTTTACTGACAAACACGGGAAAGTAAATAAAATCACCATGTTTCTTTCTATTACATAACATAACATATCATAACATCACGCCTTTTATCCTCGAAGCGGTAGGCAGAGGTGCACATTACAATGTAACACCCACTTTTCACTATTTATGTTATGAGTCCCATGTAATAGGGGCCAGGGGGGAGCCTATTGCCATATACCGGGCACATTTCCAGACTCCGTGCTATTACTGAGGTTTTTACAAACCCAGTAATACTTTGCCCGACCCGGGAATCGGACCCGAGATCCCTTGCCCGGCAGTCGCATTTGCGACCACTCACTCAATGAGGCAGTCTTTCTATTACTTTTAAGTTTATGCTTTATATGATAAAAAAATAAAACAAAAAGTACCTGTATATAATAATCCTATCAGGTAAGTTACCATTTACACTGAGGTAGACTCTGATAGCCTGTACGAAGCAGTCTCTGAGATGGTCGGCTATCTCCTGGCCGCGGCCTTGGAACACAACCTTTGAGTACCAATGAGTCATTGATTGATTGTACGATGCGACAAAAGCTGAAACGATAAAACTTTTTATTAGAAAAGTGTTTTTTTTATGGAATAGGAGGCAGACGGATCACCAGGGTGCTTAGTCTTGAAACCAATCTCAATGTCAATGCAATTTCAATCCAATAAAATCTCAATAATTATTTAATGTCAAAACTATACAACTACAATCGTAGCTGTAATATAGCATTTAGAGTACGACTGAAAATCTTATGGGAACAGGAGAAAACGGGATTGCGCGTACGAAGTCGAATTCAGAAGCTTTCGACTGAACCGAAAATGGCAATCCAAAATCTCATCTCACTGTGAATGAATAGTCATTACTTACAAATGCAAGTAAGTGGTTTATTTATGCAACTACATATTCATAAAATTACAACCCGTTAACCCAATGTCCTTAAATCTCCGAAGGGATAGAAATAAGTATAAATATTTAATGTATATAAATACAAATTTTTCACCAGTTACTCACGTAATGAAGAGTGAGCCTATAGCCATATACTGGCTACAATTCCCACCGCACTATATTGGTAAGAATTTTTGTACCCAAAAGAATCCCTTATTCGGCAGTCGCATTTACGACCACTCTACAAAAACGCTGTAAAAAAAGAAAACTTACCGCAAACGCTCTGCTTCTTCCGCGAAACATCGTGGTAGGAATCAATACCAATGACCATAGCTGACTTGAATGGTATATTAATGTTCCATAGAGTGCCGCCCAGCTTACAGTTCATTTGAAGAAGAATCTTCTGCGTTATCGAACGAATCTTATTCGGGTTCATTAATGTACGGGCGTTTATTACCTGAAAGTGGTTTGAAATAAAAATGGACATTAATACTTCCTTACACATAAAGATTGCTCACATTGAATAGACTATTACTCTTGTAATGTTTACTTTTTAGGGAGTAACGTAATTTTTGTTCCTATAATTCGAACAGGATCGTGACTCACTTAAGAGTAATCTAAATTCATCGCGGAAAAAGCTACCTAAGCTAAAGCCTAAGCTAAGGCTTTGAAGATATTGGAAAATTCATTATCAAAATAAAAAGGGTTGAGATTGTATTATATAACTTTGTTTTTCAAATTGAAAAGAGTACTATGAAATTCATAAAAGAAGTTGATAACAAAATATCGAATTACCTGGGATGGCACAGGATTGTCAGCACAGCATATCTTCTTGATAACTCCATAACGATCATCCCTAGCAGACGGGCAGATGATTACAACAATCTGCAAGTCTGGCACGATGAGCTTCTTCAAGGCGTGCACGTACGCGTCCGTGCGGTCGTTCGGTAGACGAAACATTTCAGGGTCGCTGACATTTATACCCATTGGGCGACAGGAGCGCTTCAATGTGTCCACAAAGTCCTGTGAATTTAAAGCAGATTATAATAGGGTAGATGCCTAATTTTTATTTCAATGTCCATCTGGTAGATTATCTTGAATCCTTAAATACGTATTTTTTATTTTCTTACAGAAACGAATACTTTCGACGATATATTGATTTGAAATGTCGTAAGACGTCACTTCTATGTACATTTTATCTCCTATTCTTTGATTCGATTGAAAAAAAAAATTATGTCCTAAAATTCATATTCTACGCGGACGAAGTCGCGGGCAACAGCTAGTTAAATGTTAAATAATAAAGTAAGAAGATATTATTCAAAACATCAATATATTTTCCACTTACCGTAACAACTCTCTTATCCCTATCAGTGTACAGGAGCGCCCATTTATAAATATCGACTGCTTGCATCACATGGTTTTTAGTGACTTCACCGTTCCACTCAGCATTGGGTCTGCCTGGCACTCGGACATTGTTACCAAAGAACAGAGTCTCCGGTTGTAACGTTCTGGCTGTTATGTTGATGGTCTCCGGAGCTATGCTCAGACCCCAACCAGATAGTCGACGCTTTGCATTTTCGTTTTTCATCACCGTTTCTATGTACTAAGGAAAATATATATTTTAAATGTTTGTTAATTTTGCCGATCGCAGCTAATATTATTTTATTTATTTATGTATTTATTAAGTGCACACAAAAATAAGGTACATAAGGCGGACTTAATGCCATATGGCATTTTCTCCCAGTCAACCTTTGGGTTAAATATAGAATCAGCGAAAATAGGCTTGTGTAATATGCAATAAAACAAAATAAATAGCTAATAGTAATTATAGATACTGAATATATACTAAATAACTATACATATGTTATTGTAATCAAACTCAGCGTTGTAGCGCCTTTAAATAGGCCTCACGAACTATCCTTACAAAATATCCTTCCTTCAATATTATATGAAGGAAGGATATTTTTGCTTCGTTTGTTTATATCGAAACCATTAAAAACCATACTTTTCAGCAAGTAACATACCTATACTGAAAGGAACCTAAACCCATACCCGTATACTGAAAGGCTACTCAATTTTAAATGACGATTAAGTATAGTTCTATATATCACTACAAATTCTTTGTAAATGACAGAGTTGGCACGATATTTAAGCACAACTTATTATTGAGTTGTCTTTCAGTACTCGGGCGTTAAGCACTTATAACTACGCAGGGCCACAAATCTCAATCTCCAGCAAAAAGCAACTTTAAAGCTGTAAAAATAATATACCTTTTTGAACGCCGCGTGACGTTGGTTCGGCGTTATCTTAGTATGACATGCCACATCCTTCATTAATTTGAAATTGCTTCGTTGATCATCCGTGAGACCAGTTAGCTGGCACAGTTCAGGAATTAAAGATATCATGAAATCTGTTTTACCTTCTGTGCCAGGCAAAAGTTTTGAATCCCTAAAAAATTAAAAAAATGTTTACTAGTACTTTATTTGATTATGTATGAACTTAAACAAACATACTGACAGAAAAAAAAACAGATAACTAAACAATTAAGAATTAATTATGGTTAAAGGCTTTGTCAGAACTTTGATGAGGTAACTCAGTTGAGTTACCTCGAAAGTAGTGACTCGAAAGTAGTTACTTTCGAGTCATGCCAGGGCTCATAGACGGGAGCATTATTGCAGTAGGTATTATATTAGTCACAAAACATAATTAACTATTTAATAATGTCAGTGCAAGTAGGTAATAATACAAAAGCCAGCAATACCATTAAGGTTGAGTAATAATAGTAAACAAAATAATACAATAAGAAGCGATTATTACTAATTTTTTTATGCAATTTGCAATGATGGTATCCTTACCTGGATATTAACAATGGTTGATCCCAGTCTTTAATTTCAATACCATATTGTTTTTTATAATAATCGACATAACTTATTTTCACCGGTACACCATTTTCAAGCTTCTCAAATGTTGATCGTGGCGTCTTTTCATCGTCAATACTGTCTACCCTGCAAAGAGAATAAACTTATTAGTACTTATACAATAATTTAACACAGTACTTACTACAAAACTGATGTAATAGTCATTAGAGGAGCCATTATCAGAGAACATAATACATATCTACATAACACTTTACACATCACACTCGCCTTTCATCCCCAAAGGGATAGGCAGAGGTGCACATTATGCCACTGTATAATGTAACACCCACTTTTCACTATTTATGTTATGAGTCCCATGTAATAAGGGGTGAGCCTATTGCCATATACCGGACACATCTCCAAACTCCGTGCTACTACTGACAATTTTTTAAAATCCCAATAATACTTTGCCCGGCAGTCGCACTTGCGACCACTCGGCCAACGAGGCAGTCATATCTACATAATGTCATATATTATAATGATGATTCGTAAAATTGCTGCATTATTCTAGTGTGTTTGATACTCTAGTTACGTGGTTTGACATTTTTGCGGACCTTTTACGAAAATCTTCAATACTAATGGAGTCTGTACACTGTTTGCAAGGTCAGATTACAGCTTAAAATCTCAGATATTAAATTTAATTTCTGAGAGGAACAATTCTTTGTGTGATCCTTTCTGCGCGACTATGTCATAAGAGAAAATCCTAGTAGAGCAACTTTTTAAGAGAACATTGCTTACCTATACATCTTCTTGTTGTACGTAGTCATAACAGAACAGCCGACCAGCCTCTCTGCCATAGCCTTCTTCCAGCCTGACCCCTCTGATTGAACAGCCTCTTTTATGTATGACAGCACTGTTTGAGTCCGAATTACTTTGTGCGTAGAGTCCAAGGTCAACATTAAACCTCCTTCGTATTCACAAACTGCTGTCACGTAACTAAAAAACAAAAATTATTTATGACCCATATATCCCTAAGCATGCACCAGTGACCGCTCTCCACTAACTACATTATAGACCTTATTTCCAATATTTAGACACTACTTTTGTATGATACAAACAATTTTCAACAGGTTAAAACATGTTGATGTTTATATAGCAAGGTTTAATACGATATGGGGGAACGCTACATGCTCATACATTGACTCCACGATTAGCGCAGTCTGATTGACCTGCCATAGTCCTATGTCTCGCAAGTTTGACTTCAGCATTGGACAAGGAGGATACTAACGTATTTTTTCGATTAAAATTACCATGTAGTGTAGTTAGAAACTTAGGTATTTCACGCCCTATTTCGCAAAGCACGCAAAAGCATGTTTCCATATGAGTTGTCTAAAAACACTACAGAGTGTCACTTACTATTAATCTTTACATTATTACGTCCTATTACTATACAGGACTTAGTGAACTTACTATACTGCAGCTGTAGCCATGCCAATACCATTTAGCGCTTGTCTACATGTAGAATAGAAAACCGAATTATATGGAATTGACGTAAATTTTGACACTTGTCAGTGCCATCCCCATACATTTAGTTTTCTACTCTCTCTGTAGACTAGCGCTAAAGCGGCTTTTGGCTAAAGGCACAAGAATGCTCCCGAAAAACGGTGACAGGTGACGATAAAAAATAAGTTCTATTGTCCTAAAACTAAGAAATTAAATGTTTCTTTTATGTAATAATAATTGTAATCAACCGCTTAATGCGAAAACTCTTTTTTTTTGTCAGCGTTTTCGAGTGCATTCCGTTTACACCCTACATTAAAACACAAATAATATCAACATACCCAGGCCAAATTTCCAATCTATGCTGGGGTATCGGAATACCAGCTCGGTCATTGAAATGTTCTCGACCAATCCTTACTAGTTGCAAGTCATTCATAATGTTCCTAAATATCACGTTGTAGATGTGTATCATTTCACTCAGACGACGTGTTCGACGGAATATGATCTGTAATTAAAGGTTTTAATGGGTTTAGAAAATGCTTTATTTTAAGATAAGACAAATACCGATTTAGCAAAAAGAAACATTTGGATAAATCTAAGAAGATCAAAATTACAAGAGGTATGTGTATGAGTATGTTTTACATTAATCACTACATAGTATAAAACAAAGTCGATATCCGCCGTCTGTTAAAGTCTCTATTAAATTTTTAGAACTACGCAACGGATTTTGATGCGGTTTTTTTTTAATAGATAGAGTGATTCTTAAGGAAGTTTTATATGTATAATACATACATAATATATATTGCACCCGTGCGAAGCTGGGGCGGGTCGCTAGAAGATCGAAACGAGACCGCGTTCGGCGCTCTGATTGGCCGGTTACAATGAACCAACCAATCAGAAGCGCGGTCTAGTTTCGATAACTTTAAATGTAAAACACAACTCGTTCTAAGCCCCCTGGTTACAAGCCAATTCGTTAGGTAAGTATATTAAAACATTTTCATACTTTATACATTTGTATTTTAAATACAGATATGAAGTACTAATATGTTATACTTACAGTAATCTTAACTTTGCTGCTGTCATAAGGATTGGTGGACATCAAGTTGAGAGCTTCTTCAGGTAGTTTGTGTGGCACATACAAGGTTGTACCATCAAATGTCTTGTTTGGGAAGTACCGATGATGCTCTGTAACAAATTGCATACATTAATTAGCGTAACATTACGCCTTTCCATCATCAAAAGAACGAAAGAAAAATTTTATTGGACTATAGTTTTCATTTGAGAAATAACATCTTAGAAATAACTATTCTTAAATGACCTGGTGATAATAAGACATCTACATAACAGTCAAAACTAAACCCATTCAACAACAAAATAAAGTTTAATTTCGTAAATCAATAAAACTTACCACCAAGAAGTTTGTAGCGCAAATTCATATAGTCCTGCTCTGGGTCGAACCTGACTTCATATTCATACACACTGTTTTCTTCAAATTGCAAATAAATGTAATTGGCGGTCACATCAACTGGCATGCCAGTTACACCTTTCTTCACAACCGGTGGGGTTTCTTTTACTTCGCGCTGTAAAGAAGTACATATTCATGTTACAATTATGACACAAGCTAGCTACTACCGCGAGGTTTTACTCGCTCTATTCGTCTCCTATTGATTGTAGCGTGATGCTTTATAACCTTCCTCCACAAAAAGAACTGACTGCATGTTTGGCGTGATGGCTAGGCAACTGGCTGCCGCGCAACTTGTAGTGGAATCACTCCTGCACGGAGCAACTCTTTGTATTTGTATGATTGTAAACGCACCCAAGACACAGGAGAAAATCTTATTTTATTTAAAAACATAAATGAAATCAGACTAGTAATTCCTGATCTTAGGGTGTTAAAACAAACAAAAATCTTCAGCTATATGTATGATAGTAATATACGAGGAGTATGAGATAATAGTATTTTTTTAAGGGGGGAAAATCATCAAATGACTGCTCCCGCCTGGGTGAGGCGGGAGGGAGTGTCAGACTCTTACTGACTAAAAACCACCCCGTTCCTTCTCCTGCACGTCGAGCCGGAGCCCCGATTACCCGTTAGGTTTTCCGCGACGAGATAATAGTATAAGATTAGATCACTGCAGTAATATTGTGATTACCAAGTCAATTTACTCAAAAACCTATCAACCCTTAAGCTAAGACTGAATAAAATAATAGCCAACTTGGCCTACTAAGTCGGCTATTAGGTACTGTAATACCTATATACCTATACATAAGTATTACATGGATCTTACAACGTTTTAAGGCATAGAAATTGAGTTGCGAGATGTTTTTTATAATAACTATAGTGAAACATACTAAATTAACTAAAACTCACGGGTACTCACGTTAAAATACTGAGAAAAGCTCTACTAGTTACTACTACGACTCCGCGGCCGCGCGCTCTGCTCATGAGGAAGAGCCCCTCTGTGGCTCGAAACTAGTCAAGTTTTTCTCAGTATTTTCACGAGAGTATACACTCGCGATTTTAAGTTAACCGAGTTGCGAGACTTGATTTATTTGTGCAAATAATGTTTCCTAAACAACTATCCAATCTGGACTTCACTTGAAAACTCTTTACAAAGTATCCTACTAACGAATTAATTACAGAACTATACTTACGAAAACTTTTTTCGAACGAGTACTACTATCAGGTGGTTTTGTAATCGATGTCTTAGACATTTGTTCCGTGATCTGTGATACTTGAGGCCTTGAGCTGTCACCGGATGGACCGGCAACACTGGCAGCGCTGGCAGCCTTCGCAGCTTGTCTGTGGGGAAAAAATCAGAATTTAAGGTTTCGACTGCTGACGTCGGTCACTCGGCCTCCGCTAACGGTGACCCTCATCGCTTTGAATGTGTTAGAGTACAAGTACAAGTAATGTATAAAACTGACTGCACGGTTGGCGCAGTGCTTGGATAACCGGCTGCTGTGTAACGTGTCGCGGGTTCGATTCCCGCGTCAACCAAATAATGATAATGGCATTTTCTGAGTACAATGACCATTATCAGCCCAGAATAAGGAAGTTCAGCAGTGTTTCACCCCCATGCCTCGGAAAGCATGTAAAGCCATTGGTCCTGCGTCTGATCTCTCGCCAGAGAGTACACTTGTGTTTGTGCACACACCTGTGCTCTATAATATCTCCTGCATAGTGGGCTAGTCTAGTTAGACTTGCCACCATGATCGCAAACGATCTGGAGATTTATTAAGTACTAGCTTTTACGCGCGGCTTCGCTCGCGTCACAAAAGGATAAAAAGTAGCCTATGTGAAATATACCAATACACACAGCGCCATCTATACCAATAATTTCGTTTTCCCTCGAGAATATCAAATTTTTCCGGGATATTAAGTACCCTATTATTTATTCCAGACTTCTAACATAGTATAAAGAACAAAGTAGGTTATCTTCATACAAATGCTCCGCGCGCGGCTTATATGTGTGCGCCATAGTATCTATGCGTCGACGCACGCACACTTTAACAAAATCTCGACCCGTTTCTCAGTGCGCCAGGCAGGGCTAACACTGCACGAGGTTCGCGCGCGCATCACTTTTCGGCACTGTTAAATGAAATAAAAAATGTCTGATAACCGTAGAAGAACGTATTGATGTGTTTGGGTGTCTTAATAATTAATCGATTCCAGAACTGTCTCTGTTCTGATTACCTATTGAACAGGAAAGGTAAGCTAGTCACTTTTTCTAGCACAATATAATTTGTAGGTACTTGATGATGAGATACCTACTTACTTATTCTTACCCTTATCATTCTTCATAGTTCCTACTCAACCAGAAATGTAATTACCTACTATACTTAAATATTATAAGAAAATGTGGTATTGTATTGTTTATTTCACAGTTTATCTGATTTGTTAATAGCGTGGCCGTGTCGCATTTTATTCCATATAAATGTATTCCCAAATTTACTTTCTGAATACTATGTATAGAGCTAAAGTTTATTTTAAGAAGTTAATAATCTTTTTATAAGCTTTTTATTTTTACTAAATTTATAAATTGATAATATATTCAATCATAATATGCTTTTCATTTCATAAATTTAGATCAAGTGCTGCTTGTTCGAAAATATTAACTAAAAGTAAAAGTGACAACCCTGGGGATCAACGCAAGAGTAGGCTAATAACTCGGCGGGCGGCCTTAGATAACCTACTGTGTTCTTTATACTATGCTTCTAACTTCACGTCTGCAAAAATTCAAAGCAATCGGTTTAGTAGTTACGGCGTGATAGTGGAACAAACAAACAAACTCACTTTCCGATTTATAATATTAGTAAGGATTAGTAAGGATAAAAGAAACTTTCTTTCATGAGTTGAATGAACAGTCCATACCTTGCTTACTACTCAAGTGCTCATAAATAAGACCCCATTATGACACGAAACTAACTTATCTCACATATACTGATGTTCACGTAAGTACTAATTACATGTATGCATAGGGGAGGTAGGGGAGGGATGGGCAGTTGGGAGACATGGGCACCCCACTTTTATTCAGATTTGAGCATAGTTTTCTTTTTTTTTTTATTTAGTAGTTTACTTTACCGACTGGCAACAGTGTTCATCCATAGCTATCTGTCATTTCTGTGAGTTTTCAAACACTTAAACACGTTTGAAGATTACGCACTCGAAAAGTAAATATTTTGTTGCGGTTTCGGATCGTAATAAAGAGAAAACTAATGAAAAGTATATGTATTTTCTATTATTAATCTATTGTTCATTTACTAATCTATAAATTAAACTGAAATCCAAGCCTAAATACGTAGATTCAAAAAAATACCGGTAACGTATGTCGAAAATGTATACAGAGGGAGAAATGGGCATCTAGAAGAGCGGGTGGTTTGGGCATGCCCAACGCTCCCTCCTATTATGTTCAGTATATGACGATTTTTAACTAGGTACTTATTGTTAATTACTGAAAGACGTCGTTTAAATTTAAAAACTAAAAACAAAAAATAAAAGGTTTGCGACGGGAAATTCCGAAAGAAAGCCATAGAAGAGGTATCAAAAGGATCAAAAATATTCAAAAATAAAAACAGCAGCTGATAAATATGAAATCCCTAGATCAAGTTTGCAACGGTACCTAAAACAAGATTTTATAAAGAATTCTTCGCACAGATTCTTCTCATGCTCACTCAAAGATCTCGTTGGCGGTGGCACGTGCATTGGATCGCTCGATTCCCTACAAAATGGTTGAGTTGGGCGGTGCTAGGGTTCGCAAAATGTTCGTGAACGGGCACCGTCGATTGGAACTGGTCAGCTCCAGACTGTATCTTTTTATTTTATTATCCTCAAGGTTATTTTCTTTTTCAGTCTTTCTGACTGGATTTAGGAGTTGCATTGTTCTCACATAATCGAACCAATAAAACTATGTAACTAGAGAATTGTATTGTAAACCTGATTGAAAAAGAGTAACCTATGGAGTTTCTTGCTCGTTCTTCTCCATAGGAATCTACGCCTTGGAATGAGCAACTAGCTTCACTTATAATTTTTTGTTGTTTGACGTTCAAAAGTGCCATCCTGGTCTAATTGAAATAAATGATTTTGACTTTTGACTTTGACTTTGATTTATAACCTCACAAATTTTTAGTGATGAAGAACGAACATTTTTTTTATACCCAATCTCAGATAAGATACTGTTTAAGAAGATTTTTATTTGTTAACTTTTATTTCTGGTTTCTATTATTGATATAGTTTATATAATAGTTCATTTGTTAACTAGTCATTGAATTCCATTATGGATATAAAGTGATTTAGTAGCCATGCCCAAGTCTCCCACAGGGTATGTCCAAGCCTCCCTACCATAGGGAGCATTGGACACTTTTGACTTAGTTTATAGAATATCTCGTTATGTTGAAACTGATTGTAATTTTGAAGAAAGCTCTTTAACTATATGTAGCCAAATGTATGGTGCAATAAGTATTGGCAATAAAAGTTGATTATCTATAAAATCTGATTTTTTATGCAATAAATAGTGAAAAAGTGCCCATCCCTCCCCTACCTCCCCTACTTACAGAGACTGTAACAGCTTGAGTCCTCTGCCTACGCCTCTTGCCGATGATGGACTAATGTCACTAGCCGGAACAAATTGTGGACCTGTAATAAGATACAATATGTTAAGTTCGACAGTCCAATAATTTTGCCGTCACCACTCGACACTGGCAGTATAGTCGACAACACCACTTTAGAGACTCGGTTGCCAAAGAAAAAAAAAAAGATACAATATTTTTACTAGTCCGTCGCCCTAGTTGTATAACTTGGGCCTCATTTAATATGAGCAATGTACGACTGACGCCCGACGCACCCCGTCACCGTTAAAGAGGCGTCAGGGTATGACAGCCACTAAATAATTTACAAATTAAATAAGTAGCCATACCATGATACCTTAGCTTTTTCAAATGGTAATTACTAAGTACGTTATTCTTGCCTTAATCAATAAAATAATTATTGCTATAATACTGGCTAAGCCGTACGACTTACTAGATCAAAACTCCATTTGTATGTGCACAAAAACCTGTTCCGAATCCCCGCAATCCTCAAATGCCTAACCCCCAATAGGCCAGTACAGCACTTGTGACGCCTCTGGTGTTTCGAGTGTCCATGGTGTCGATTGCATACCATCAGGCGATGCGTCGATTGCGTACAATTAGGCGATTCGTCAGCTCGTTCACCGACTTATCCCTTAAAAAAAGATAACTTACCTCCAGGTTTTGCATTAGCCTTAGCAAGTAACATAGCTGCAATCTTGCCCCTACCGCCAATTGAGGTGCCCGAAGACATTGAAGTGGATGATAAGGCCTATAACATTTTATTAAATTCATTCAATAATTAAACATACACTCCATTAATAACACATTCCAATCTTATACAAAAAAATAAATTAGATTTTTATAGGAATATCCACAATATACATCTTGTCTTTAATGTGTTGTAAAAAAGTAAAAATATATAGAAGTAGATTAGCTCTAGTAAGAACAACATTTATGAAACTTTATATTTTATGATTGTAAATGTAAACAATGGTAAATGATTGTGAAATAAACAGAAATATAACTTAAGTGTGTGACAATACAGCTTACATTTGAACAACAAGAAAAGTTACCCATCAATTTCAACTACAATGTATTATCTGTGTGAAGTAAAAGCTACAAATTGATACTTACAGTAGGTGCAAGGCTTGAAGTAGACTCGCTAACTACACTTGGAGCTGTACTAGGCCCCGGAGTGCTAGTAGAAGCATCATTGGATGATGAGGTGGCTTGAGACTTCTTCAGAGCCTGTAGCAAGGCCAGGCCTCGCCCTTTGCCCCTCATTTGATCCGACATGTTGTACTGCAAACTAGAGAAAAGACAGCTTTATTGCAACTATAAGAAAGACCTTACATTATAAGAAAATAAACTCTATTGCTTGAAATCATAATGCTGATATTATAACTACACAAGTCAAAGCATAGGGTAACCTTTCTAAAACATACTGGTCAAGTTTTTATCACTTTATTAATACAATGTTGCATTGGTTCACAAGACCATTACTGCGCACTTGTAATAAATTATGAATGTCAGCATTTTAACGAAACATGAGTAGGTAGATACATTTCTAGTGATTTACAACTAAATTATGTTATGTAGCACTGAACCGGATTTAAACTTCCATTCAGGGCAAAATAGCCTACTTATTTACTTAAGAATAAGTCATAATATCAAGACATTATGTGGGAGTAACTGCATGACTGGATGCAAAGAGAGGAAGGATCGAAATCAGTGTGCTATTGAAGACGCCAATAAACATAGCAGTGGACGGAAATGGGTTGAAGATGGAGAAAGTCAATAGATTATAGTAAAGTCATTAGGTAAAGTCATTAATCAAAATAAGTTGAATTACAACCGTGTCTCCTAATTTCCGAGAAATATAATATCAATGCTATGCAAATCGCTGACGAATGAGCGGGAAATGTGGTGATAGTCGAGACATGTCCGATAACTGACTAAATTTTTGATACCTGGAGTTTTGATACTACGACAAAGTCAATAAAACAACATCAGCTCGATAACTTACACTATATAATAGTATAAACACGAAAATAAAATATCACGCAAATACCTACTAGTCTATAAACGAGTACCTATTGATAAATCAACAAAATAAAAGGATTTATTGACTAAAGGAAGTAAAGGAACGGAAAGAAATACAGATTTTAGATGCTTAATTTTCAAATGATTTAGAAAATAGTAAAATTTACAAAGAAAGCATACCTAAACAACTTCTTGGCTGAAGACAACAAATAGGTATAACAATTTAACTGAAATGAAACTTACTTAAAATTACCCACTAATAAAAGAATATGATCTCACCTTATTACTTATTTTTCTTACTGCCTTCTTAATAATAATTTGTTAAAAACTTCCAAGAAACGCTTTCACAAACTACCCATTTAGCATGCAGAATCTGGCAGAATACTTTTTTTTTATTTTTAAAATGTCAAAGATAAAATAATCAGGGTTGCCAAAGCTAATTCATCAAAATCCCCAAAAATCCTGATCGAATTCCCCAAATTTGGGGATAAAAATCGGCTGATTCCCCACAAATTCCCCTCAAAAGTTTTTATTTATAAAATGATACTATAATCAATGATTTAAATAATATTTATTGATTATCTTTTATATTTTTTTCCATAGATTAGTTCGAAGGGTTAAACTTGACACTGTCGTCCAGTTTTTTAATGCCTTGTAGGTTTGTAAATAATGATACTACAGTATCTATATTCAAACTATTGCGGTTTTCAGTTTTTAAATTTTTAAAGAGACTAAATTTGCGCTCGACTGATGCATTTGATAAAGGCAATATCATCAATAATTAAATAACAATTTTATGTTTGAGAACAGGTATTCTCCCGCAGCGTTTTTCATGCAAAACAATAGCTGCACGAGGTACATTTCCATCTTTTTTCAAATCTTCCATACTTTCTCCAGCCTTCATACTTTATGATTCAGAAAATGTAAAGAAAGAAAGAAAGAAAGAAAGAAAAATAATTTATTTGGTACAACACCAGGCACAAACACAATACAATAAATACAATGCAAACAAAAAATTAGGAGTGAAATAATAAAAATAATATAAGACAAAAATAGATGTAGGTAGGTATATACAAAATTTAAAATACCAACAATAATCATGTGCCCGATAGCTGCACCAAAAAAGGTCCAGTTCAGCATAAATGCCAGACATCTAGTGCCTGACGCTGGTTTTCAACTGAACCTGTGGCTGTAACGCAACGGATGTAAAGCAGTAAATGCAGAGTAGCGTGTGAAGTATATTATAAAATTATTAAGTAATTAATATAGTTATACCATAATACATACATACATATAATAATAGGGTATAGTAATTAGCCAAAAAGATTTATTAAATATGATAAAAATTATATTGCGTGTGTATGAACAGAATGCACGGGTACATTATATAATTGAGGTATTTTGCACCACCATATCAAGCCTTCGCTGTGTATCGATGAGGTATTGTCGCAAGCGTCTTCTAAATGCACCCATTGTATTGTATGTAGTCATCGATAATAAGCGATGAAATATTTTCCGATGAGAATATGAAGTCAAAATCCCCACATTTTCCCCACGTAATGCCAATCCCCAATAAATCCCCAACCAACTTAAAATTCCCCGCAGTTTGGGGAATTCCCCACAGATTGGCAACCCTGAAAATAATATCCTTTTGCCACAGATGTTCAAAACAACTATATTCAAAAATATCACAGACTAAAAATAAACAAATATTATTTAAGCATTGCACATATTATAAACAATACTGTAGCAAACAAAATAATTCACGATTTCACAAGTTTCTAGCATGGAATCTAAATAGAGAATAAGACGACATTATGTCTTTTTCAGTTGTTTTCTGTAGATTCTCACCCGACGTCTAAGACGGCTATTAAATAACTTAGTCTTTTTTTTAATACGAATAAGAACGTTTATTTGCACGAAGTAGGGTAATTACAGGTAATAATAATTATAAAAAAAATAGTCCCACATACATCGCCTACTGTTTTCGACATGCAAAGTTAAGTTTTACATATTATAATAAAGTTAAAATCTTACATTCAATAAAATCAATTACAAAAAATGCTTAATTCTTATTATGAGTATGGAGCATACTGTGTTTTGTCGACCCATAGGAAAATCATACCCATCCATTAAGCAGGCCTGGACACATCACAAAAAACTGATGATGAAGAAGTGGATAAATAAGACAAATAAAAGTAACAGACATACAAGGAGATGTAGACCAAAACTTAGCTATGTAAAGCCAAACAGCACATAAATATGCGCAAAAATGCTTAAACGAAGCCAGACTAAGGTCGGCATCAGAAATAAAGGAAATGATTAGGTACCTACATAAAAATAAACGTATGTTTGAGATAAATAGTTAATAATTATTTAAAAATGTTTAATAAATATCCATTTTTATAAATTTTAATGTAAATGTTACAGAAAATGTATGAGAATCCTATGAAAAAATTCCTAAAAGTAAGTATTTAGGAACTGTAATACAGTTTCACAAATTATTTAATACGTCGGTATGTATTAAATAATTTTAAAATCTCCACAACATGTATAAAAGATTGCTTATTTAAATAAAACACGTTTTAAAGGGAGAGGAATTATTTTTTAAGGCACTTGCTAAGGTTAAGAATATCAGATAATAGTCATCTCCATCCCTTCAATACCACTGACCACTTCCATGACAAGTTCTTATCTTGTCCTGTCCGAGAGAGCGGAGCGAGCGCCATGTTTAATTTATTTGTACATTCCTAAACATTTCAGGTTTTTGATGATATTCTTTGATGTTAATAGGCAATTGTGATAAAATTGATACAGAGTACGTATACAATCGTGGTACATATTACAAGTATAAACTACTACTATTGTAAAAAAAAGTCTGTAAGATTATTTAAATTTGTAGTATCCATTACTCAATATAAAAACAATATATTTATTACTTTACTGCCTCGTTGGCCGAGTGGTCGCAAGTGCGACTGCCAGGCAAGGGGTTTTGGGTTCGATTCCCGGGTCGGGCAAAGTATTACTGGGTTTTAAAAAAATCTCAGTAGTAGCACGGAGTCTGGAATTGTGCCCGGTATATGGCAATAGGCTCACCCCCTATTACATGGGACTCATAACATAAATAGTGAATAGTGGGTGTTACATTATACAGTGGCATAATGTGCACTTCTGCCTACCCCTTCGGGGGTAAAAGGCGTGATGTTATGTTATGTTATTTATTACTTTAACCATTCGAAATTCTAAATCCGTCCTGCTTATCTATTGTAAGTCTGTGATAAATTGAACCGTACATGTAAACTACGCCTTATCGGGACATTGACAATTGAAGACATACCAAAACAAGTCAGCTGGAACTGTCAGACGTCAAAACAAATTGATAACGTCACTGAATCACTGTCTGACTGACTGTCGTTGTGTCGTTGTCAATGTCATACACAACAAACATTGCACGAGTTACGTTTTCAGCAATTATTTGCTATGTTTCCTCGTCTTTAAAATAATAAAGACGCTCTAAATTCGTGGACAACATCATACTAATCATACAATCATGTTGAGAAGTTTAATTCGCATTAATAGAGCTGGTAGTCAATGCTCAAGATTATGCGCAGCGACTACGCTAAGGTAAAATAATTGCGTATTAATAAGTACATAGTTTGTTACGCGGCAAAAAATTCAATAAATAATTGTACATATTCACCAGCATTGGCGGTTTCCATATGGATAAACATTCAATGAAATACCTAATTTCCAAATTCAATATGATATAGGTACCTATCTAAACCGTCGTATATTTTCTTTCCGTCTATAAGAAAACCCACTGACCCTAATAATCTACAGGTACACAAATCTAAATTAATCTAAAAGTTAAACTATAATTTGGATTTCAGCCTAAATAGTATCAAGAACTTTAGCGGAATATCCCCAGGGATCCAGAGAAATGTCAACAAAAAGGTTCCTTTACTCAACAACTGTGTCTGTCGGACCATGTTCATTCAGACACAGGATACTCCCAATCCAAATAGCTTGAAGTTCTTACCTGGCGTTAAAGTGTTGGAATCAGGACAAACTATGGATTTTCCTAACATCGGTGAAGCTCAATGTAGTCCTTTAGGTAGGTTGGTCAATCATTTTTTATAATGGATGTGAGTTAGATAAAAAAGCATGTCTAAAGTCGCCAGATACCATTATTCCACGTTGATGAAGTGATTGAGGTATGTGGAATCGTAGTAATTGGCGTTCCATAGTCTCTGCCTATCCCCATGGGAGACAGGCGTGAAGTTATGTATATATGAATGATGTATGACTAGTAAAATGACAAATGTATTGAAAAATTTCAGCAAAAATGATTTTCCGCATCGACGGAGTGAAATCAGTGTTTTTCGGTCCTGAATTCATAACTGTAACAAAGCAAGATGATGATGTTGACTGGAGGGTTATGAAACCAGATATTTTTGCAACTATTATGGACTTCTTTGCCAGCGGTTTACCTGTAGTAATTGATGCTAAACCTTCAGGAGATACACGTAAGAATTTTCAATAACTACATTATAAGAACTGATTTATGTTTAACTAGCTTTTACCCGCGGCTTCGCTCGCGTCACAACAGAGTAAAAAGTAGACTATGTGTCATATACCAATACACACAGCGCCATCTATACCAATAATTTAGTTTTTCCTCGAGAATATCAATTTTTTCCAGGATAAAAAGTACCCTATTATTTAATCCAGACTTCTAACTCTACGTCTGCAAAAATTCAAAGCAATCGGTTTAGTACTTACGGCGTGAAAGCGGTACAAACAAACAAACTCACTTTCCGATTTATAATATTAATAAGGATTATCATGATTTTTTCTTAGAAAGTGAGTTTGATTTGAAGTTATGTTTGGCATGAATAGATTACCATTAGGTACAAATTTTTATCTTTAAACTGACTTCCAAAATGGAGATTTTTGAAGTAGAAATTGCACACACTCTTAGTAAGAGTTAGCAGATAAAAATGAAATATTTAATAACTTCATATATACCTTAAAATTTGTTCGTACAAAAGTAGTCTCTAAGCATCAGAAGTAAGGTCTATAAAGTAGTCAGTAGAAAGAGGTCAATGGTGACCGCTTGGGGATTGATCAGTTAAATTCGTGTGACTTTTCAAGTTGCATTATAATTGTTTTCATTAGTCAAACCTTAGTACATACGGCTCTTCATAGCTCTGAGTTATTCACAGTTGACTATTAATTTTAAAAGCATAGAGTTTTATGATGATATATACCTATCAAAATACCTTAAAACTTTTGCACAATAAAATAAAATAATTTTGATGTTCCAGAAATAAATGAAGATGATGACGAGACAGTACAAATGATAAAGGAGCTCTTAGATACCCGTATCAGGCCTACAGTTCAGGAAGATGGTGGTGATGTCCTATTTGTGGACTTTAAAGATGGTATATTAAGGCTCAAAATGCAAGGTTCCTGTTCTTCATGTCCCAGCTCGATTGTTACTTTGAAGAATGGAGTGAGTATTTTGTTTATTTTGCTTGTACTAATTTTTTGTGCAGCTGTCAAGTTACATCAATGTATTTTAGACTTTGTTACAAAATGGTTAAGTTGAAAATCAGATTCCTACTTTGGGTAATTTAATCTGTGACAGCCAAAAATACTTGCATATTATGTGCAATGAAATTATTAACAATTTCAATATAACTTAATTGTTAAAAATTCTGGAAGCATTCAAATAGTTTTGTATATATATTTTTTAATATGTTACCCCACACTAGGATTTTCTCCTGAGTGGTGGGTGTGTTTACCATACACATTACATCCATATCCGGAACAACTATCTGTGGATAACACAAAGAGTTGTTCCGTGCGGGAATCGAACCCGTGACACGTTACGTGGCAGCCAGTTACCCAGCCACTGCGCCAACCGTGCAGACAAGTTGAAAATCTGCTTCCTAGTTGGGGCCATATAAAAAAATACTTACATATTATGTATGTGCAATGAAATTATTCAACATTTAAAATTAAATTAATTGTTAAAATTTCTGTAAGCATTCAAATAGGGATATATGTATTAATTTTTTTTAAATTGATGTTCCATTTTTATCTTGATTTAATAAAAAAATTGTATGAGTAGTGACTCATACAATTTTAGACAAAAACAACTAGTAATTAGGTAATACTTACTTGAACTACTTTTTTTATTAAAGGTACAAAACATGATGCAGTTCTACATCCCAGAAGTGGTAGCTGTTGAACAAATTGATGATGAAGGCGAAAAACTTAGCGAAAAAGTGTTCAAAGAATTTGAACAATTGAAAACCAAAGAAAAGGCAGACCCTTAAATGAATCTACACGTTAATACATATTTATAAGTAGAAATATAATATTATGTATATACAGTCTTATTATATTATGATGAATATAGAAATATAAATTGTATGTTGAATATTTTTTTTTTGTAGTCTCCCAATATTTATAGTGGTGGTGTACCCAATAAGCACTCTTTTTTTTAAGAGGGGGAAATCATCGAATGTCTGCTCCCGTAATAATAATAAGTCATAAGCCCTCTATATACATAATTATGATATTACATAATTTGATTATGTTTTAATATTCAATCAACCGTTGAACTAATTTCAGAAAATATTTACTTAACAAAAGTAAGTATTTAAGTTTGGTAGTGACTTGTTTTCACATATCTCGTCTTGACTCTTCACTCCCGTGCCCCCAAGTAGATTAAAAAGTGTCGCGGAGAACCTAACGGGTAACCGGGGCTCCGGCTCGACGTGCAGGAGAAGGAACAGGGTGGTTTTTAGTCAGTAAGAGTCTGACACTCCCTTCTGCCTCACCCAGGCGGGAACAGTCATTCGATGATTTTCCCCCCTTAAAAAAAGTAGATTAAAAGGTCATTAAAAAAAATTAAAGAGGTAGGAAAAAACTAAATACAATTCCATTGCACTTTTATTATTCAAAATGTAGATAAAGTTTTTTTTGTTTATCATTATTTTATTTGAGTATCTTAGGCTGCTTTCCAACGCTGTTGACATATCAAATTATTATCATTTATGATTTTAATACAATTTTTGCTACAAAATAGAGATCGACTATTAATTATTTTTTGTTGGAAAACCGTCTCTATACTTACGTTTAACACATGAAAATATAAATACAAGTAATTATCCTAATTATAACATATATTAGTAGTTGTCTTTAAAATAAAGGTATTAAGTAGGCTCTTACCAAAACTATATCTTAAAATCGACATCTTATATTTAACAATTGCAAAACCAATAGAAGAAATCAATTATTTTTATGCATTTTAAATAGATGAAGGACTTATTATGCTAAACAATGGCAGTGTTCCATTTCATATTTGAAACTAAATTTAGTTTAACTATAATTAAGGTTTTATAATACAGGTACAATCAAAAACAGAATGTGAAAAACTAAATTTAATGACGAATAAGAATTTACAAAAATGTTGCGACTTACATTAATCAAACTACAATATTGTTATCTCCTAAATAAGTGTGAAAGTTGAAGGATTGACATCTGTATTTGACTGTACCAAATTAATACCTAAAAACACGTTTAATGGATTTATAGCCAAGTTATATTCCTGCATTGGTAGGTAGGTATCATAAAATCCGGTTCAAAAATTATAAAGTAGAACGTGGTAGAAACTTAGATACCTAATCTTAAAATAAAATAGGTCTTCTTAAAATTTTCAATCATTGTCAAAATGAAATTCAAAAATCCACCTAATAATATGTAGGTCATATCAATTCAAGGTTGTTGCCTCGATCATAGTAGAAAAAAAATATTTTATTTTTGTAAAATTACCTATAGGTAGTTTGGTATTGGGTGTGGAAGCCGTAGAAGATAATATAAAAAAGAAAACTTCGTTCAACGAAAATTTGGCTAAGAATAAAATGAATGGGCAGGAAAACTATGGGTATTATGCTAAAGTCACCTGAAGACATTTGATATTATGCAGGAAAAGGAAAATCGTAGAAGAAATATTTAAATCACACACATTTCTCGTATTCCTAAATTTCCTAATAACTAGGTTTAGAATACGATCGTTCATAAAAATGATAGCTCTATAATTAAGCTGTATGCATTATGGTGCCAAAAATTAGGAATCATCTACCACTTTGATATCAATGTGGATCTAAGTAAATTGTTCCATAAAGCAACTATGTAGGTATATGCATTAAATTGCGCACTTAAGCAGGCTGAGTGTATGATGTAAAGTCTTGAATTTAAGACCTTATAATAAGTACGATAGGTATGATATTTCAGTGTAGGTATCAAGGATTACATCTGCACACACAGCAAGAAGGGAATAAGAACCAATCCATGAATATGCCTGCACAATCGTCGTTTGGATCGTACGCGAGGAGTCTGTGCCATTTGTACTTTTGCTCACATCCGCAGTCACGTGTACATCTTGCTGTTGTTGTTTTACTGGAAAAGAAAACAGAAAACATTAATTAAAAAGACGTTTCAATACGTGTTTCAATCACACAATCACAACCGAAAAAGAAAACAATCCCTCCCCGTTTCGTAACGTTTTTCGTCAGGAAATGACAGCTGGACTGCATCGTTGGCCGAGTGGTCGCAAGTGCGACTGCCGGGCAAGGGGTCTCAGGCTCGATTCCCGGGTCGGGCAAAGTATTACAGAGTTTTTTAAAAAAAATCTCAGTAGTAGGCTCACCCCCTATTACATGGGACTCATAATATATATAATGTGCTATATAGTTGCCAGTTGCGGCAATCCAATTTAAAATTCTTGTCACTTGGCTCGGTTCCAATGTAAGTGTTGATAGCAAAACACTTTAGCATTAACAAACGAATTATTAAAGTTCAGTTTACGTAAGCAAACTGCATTTGGATGCATTACAGCTTACCTGCACGTTTCCTGATGTATCGCTTGTTCAAAATGCATAGTGTTGACAATTGCACGCAACTTTCTCGCAGAGTTTAACGCCCAATATGGCGTCATTATCTCTGTCTTGCTCTCGCAGGCGTCCACTCTAAAATCAGAGATAATATTTGTTTTATTTAAGTGTTTACGAAACTGTTTCGATCACAGTCCACAATGTAATGTACAAAAATGGTTACTTGTTTCAATGCAGATGTATTTTGTTTACAAGCTTCTATTGTTTGTCACAATGAAAAGGAAATTATAAAAGATTTGGAAATTATAGACACATGGCCATAGTTCACATATAATTTCTTCACCCTAATTAACCAAACCCAAGAAACAAAACGCTAACAATTGGAACCGCGGACAATTACGGGTTACCGTGGCCCCGGTTCGAAGCTTCCGCTTCGAACTCCTGCTTAGAGTACGAACGAGGTGGTTTCTACTCAGTAAGAGTTTGGTACTCCGTCTCACCTCACTCTAGGCGCAGGAGGAGTCATTGCATGATTTTCCCACTCATAAACCCAAATGGCGTCTGAAATGTCAAAGAAAAACTGACCTGCCAGTGTTATTGACGGATTGCGCATCAGGTAGTCGTGTATTGGTAGCTTGTCGAGCATGTCTGAAGTAGGAATCACCAGTAGCATCATGCATATCAGGCACGCCAGGCGCCCGTCTCACCCGGTTTCCAGCCGGTGTCGTAAACGAACCGTACATCCGCTTTATTAAAGCTTTGTTCTCGTCTATGAAGTTCTCGATTTTATCTCTGTAACATAAAAGTAGTAGGTAAGTACTTAAATTGAGTAAAAAATTAGGATGCATTTCACTTAACAGTCTCATTATTATGTTAGCCTGCCGTTTAACGAAACCTATTTCAAAATGTGAGTACATTATTTTCTTCACTAGTAAGGAAATACGAATTAACAGAAAAAAGTACCTATTGGTAAAAAACAAACATCTGCGACTTTGTTCACCACGGGCACAAGTACTTGGTCAGGACATACGACCGCTACCGTGCTCCCATAGGTAATATTTTGAAAACCATTGAATCATTTGTTTTTAGATCATCAGCTCTTCACCACCATCCACCGTATAAATGTGAAGTTTAGAATTTAACATTTATACATTAGTAATAGACACACAATACCTACATATAAATATAATTATGGTACTTACAATGGATAGGTGTTACCAGCTGTTGGACAATACAACTGGAAGTTTCGCTTCACGCACGGAACTCCTCGGATGATCTGACCTTGGAGCTCGTAGCCCAACGCTAACGACAGCGCAGTCCATAGTATCTGGAATTCATTTATATAACAGTAATTAAATAATTGAACATATAGCGCAAAACAAGAATTATTAAAACGTAAGTTTATTTTATAGAAAAAAAAAATAAGAACTGGCGCGTTGTGGATCATGTCTTTGATCTACGAATCGAAGTAGGTATTGCAGAGATTACCTACAAAAAATACTTAATAAAAATTATGACTGATGAATAGGCTACAAGTCGCGACACTACCCCTCACTGAAGGAACTTCTAATGACGAAAATGTAAGTGTAGAAAAACGCTTTTAGTGATCAAAAAGTACCTATTCCTACTTTTTTTCATCAAAGGATATCTAAACAAGGTACCAAAAAAATTTTTTTATGGGGAATATCATCGAATGGTTGCTCTCCCGCCTAGTGTCAGACTCTTACTGATTAAAAACCACCCCGTCCCTTCTCCTGCACGTCGAGCCGGAGCCCCGGTAAAGGTGCCTACAATAGGTATTCTTTACCATATAATTTTATAAACATAATAAAATATTTTATGTAAAATATTCAAACTTTGCCATAAGCTCTACCACAAAATTTTTACACATCCCGTTCACTCCATATAAGTAAATAAATAGGTACGAGATCTCATCACAAAATTTCACATCACAATCAAAAATAATAATAAAAACTTACACTAAAAACATTATAAGAACGAGGTTTTCCCATAATTTATACCTAAATATAGTAGATTTTATTCGTCAGAACAGTCAAAATTTTATTCTAAAACTTCCTTCTACAAAGACAAGATATTTAATGAATTAATAGCTAGGTATGTGTAATTCATTAGTTTTGAAGTAGCCTTCCTATTGAATGAGAGTAGGAATATCGTTACCTACTTTACAATTTTCGCCAACAATAGAAATGTTTTGAGTTGATTAAAAGATATAATTCGCGAACATCTTTAAAACAATGACACTTTCATAAACTTACATAGTTAGATATAATGAAATTCGGTAACTAAGTACGTAATCTATTTAGCCTAAAAATAAACATTGGTTGTTAATTAATAGATAAACAGAACATTTGTAACAGTTATATTACTATCCTACCTATCACACTATCACTATCGCTATCAACAACAACCCTTACAGTCCACCACGGTCCTCTAAATAAGAGGGTTTACAATAATTTACTGATACGGTTCCTATAAGTAACACAAAAAAGGTTTTATTCTACTTAAAAAATATTAATACACATCTAAATACTTACACAAAAAATGGGAATACCCTGCCTTAGAACAGACTAAACAAATAAAAATGAAACTCACGCTCAAGCAGAACAAATCCATGTCCGGTACCAGATTAGCGTTTTAATTAATACGTCCTGCTACTGCAGAGTGTACTAATTAACTGAACGGATTCCAAATAAAAACAATAGGTAAGCAGAAAAAAATCACGTTTAACTATACTCGACCTTACCACACTGGATCATGTTCTCAAGATCCGTCCGGTGATACGTCTACAATAAAAAGTCAGCGTTTTCCGCCACTTCGATTTTAATTTTAAAGAAATATAAACCTTAAGTCCTTACAAACTTTAAAAAAAATATTTAATTTTGCAATTCTCTATTGTTATTCTAGTTTTTGCATAAAATGTGACTGACATAAAATACTCATTGAGATTCAAAATAGCAAGCGACACAAAACACGTACCTACCCGCTCAGAATATTGAATTTCTCGTGCAAGAATATACTACTTTATCATATTTAAATAATAAAAAAATGTTGTATGCATATTTATTGCAGTGATTTATAGCGAATTTAGATTGCGCAATAAAAATGGGAAACTGGATCGTGCCATTAATTTAGCAAGCGCTCGTTATTTAGCAATTCTAAAGTTATCCAGCATATTTTAGACGCAACTATGTCAATAACCTTGCATGGAATGAAATAAATTTACATACTTTACAAGCAAAAAATAGAAGAGAATCGCGGCGCCCATGTAATGGCGGTGGCGCCCCAAGTTTCCAAATGATTAATAGACTTTATAGTTCATTTTAAACAGCTGTAAACTGATTCATTACCAATTGTTAGGCACGTATGCCCCTTAAACCGCGAAGGTTTACGATGTTACGAAAAATACTTTATAGACTTGTTTAATTGTAAGATATATTCCCAGATGTATCATTTAAATTTTAATGTCTTTACGACCGCACAAAGGTCAATATAGAGTAATCCAAAAAACCGCTAATTAATTTCTGCAATGTGAGTACCTACCTACACGTGTTACTTAATAAATATCGTAAGATGTATTGGATGATGTTTCTCGTCGTGTAAGTCAGTAAGTTATTAGTGCAGTATTAATTTAAAATTAAAATACATAGTTTATTCTCGGTAGCAAATAGGTACGGGTAATCGATTTGTCATGTTACATAGCATTTGATTTATAGACATTGAGAGCATTTTTTTCTTCTAAGTATTGTGATCTGTGAAGCTGATTTTTAGTCTGTTGTGTTCAGGTTTTATTCGAACTGGCGTCATTCAAATAATGGTTGTTCTTTTTTTGAATTACATAAACCAGTCCCAATAAAAAAAGAACATCAAAATTCCGCCATATTAAGTAGCAAAATTAAGTCTTATTTTCATTCATACGAGATAAATGTATGTGTTGGAACAAAACGTTTCAATTGTTTAAGTTTTTTGCTTCAATTTTGGCGCCATCTGACACCTGCAAGATTATCCCTTGCAAGAATTCATGTCACGTTTGTTTTTCTTAATTTATTGATATTAGATAATCTGTGGTCTGTTTTGGTTTGCACATAATCTGCATATAAATTTTATTAAAACAACTTCCTATTTAATCAGCAATTAAGCGTTTAGTTAGTTCGTTATTAGCTACTAATCAATAAAGTTGTAATAAATTATTATTTATTTCTTTATTTTTTAATTAACTAGGCAATAAGCTTTGGTAAATAATAATAAATTGGTAGGTTTCATAACTATGGATATGTAAAAGAAGGTCGTTTATCTAACCACATGGTTGGAGATACTTAATTAACGTAAAATTACATTCCTAATTAACTTTTTACGCTTATAAGCACTAGGTAAATGAATACATACTCATTTGAATGGTCTATTCCCTTAATTACGAAGTAACACATTATTTTAATGCGACACTTTACATTTAAGTGGACATTTTGAATGCACACGGCGAATCGTTCGCCATATTGACGGGAATACAATTGTCTTGCACGTTTCGTTCATTCGATGCACGTTCACCAATGACATTTCGATGTGACTCACGCAGTTTACTTGAAACTCAGAAATTTTATACAATTACATACGTACGTTGTCGTCGGTATGACGAAGGTGTAGCGAGCTTTTGCATTTTGATTCTGGTAGGTACTAAATAATCACCATCGCCAACGCCTACGAAGCGAGTGTCAGTGTCGGTCGTCTACAAATCGCAAGTGGCGCCAACGACAGATAAACTTAATGTGCCGCCAGTATGTATTATTGAGTAATTTTGCTTTGTAGATACTACTTATGTATCTCGTCTTGTAAATTTTCCATAACAATAAGTGTACCAAAATTATACTGTTAACAGTTTTCTTTCAAAAATAAGTTGGTTGATCAGAAAATTGTACCGGTGTAGGTACCACAAGCCCTTGATATTTTGCTAAGTTCAAAACTACAAATAGGAAGAAATTTTCTAAGAACATCAATCGCCACATCTCATTAAAAGTTTATTCCCCAATTTTGAATAAAAAACGGTCCAACTACGAGCAAAATAAATTGAGAATGCACGTGATTTGCGTGCACGTCGTTTTTTTATCGCGAGATAAGACAATTGTTTTAAGGAAAGGTGAACGCTCTAAGCCTTTAATGGTCGTCAAATAAGGTTGTACATAATTGTGGCGGCACATTGTGTATTATATAAATCCGTCACGATTTATATTTTATCGCTGCGACAAAGATGCCCACGCCTGTGACTCATGTAGACTTAGATCGAAATATCGGACGCTTCCACTAAGCCTACGCCATCGCAATTTTAATAAGACACGGTATAAATAATGGCATTATCGGAAATATAGTGCGGATTATCGTTTTCTTTAGAAGTGTAGGTTTTTCTAGTGGACATAACCTCAAAAGTTGAGGCTTATGCGGATATCATTAAGTGCCAGAATCAGATCATAAAAATGATGACTGTATTATTATTTATTGCTATCTGCTGACATGATATCGAACTAAAAGTTTTCGGTAATGGACATAGAAGACGAAGAAAAGGAATAAACATAAAGAATACCGACGAACCATTGTCTTTTTAGGCATATCAGATAACCGCTAATTTTCGTCCTATTTACATTGATTTGCAACTGCAGAAAATGGCCAAAATTTTACAAATTCTACTGCATACACGTGAATCAGTTATGAGCATCGTGATTAGTCCATTAGGATCAAAGTGCCGTGTATTTTGCAAAGCATTACTGTACAACACTTCGGGTGTTGACTTTGCACTTGTGACGGTGTTTCTACATGCAATTAGCACCTTTACATTACGTAGCCACATACTTTGTTTAGTAAACGATATCACAATACCATACAAATACAAACTAAATGTCCGAAGTGTTTGATGAAACATTTTAAGTAACATTTAGAATTATTTAATGAAAGTAAAAGTAAGTCATCATCAACAGCCTGTTTTCGTCCACTGCTGGACATGATCCTCTCCAATGGCACGCCACTGAGCTCGGTCTTCAGCTCTGCGCATCCAACCACTACCAGCCACTTTACGTATATCGTCACTCCATCTAGCTGGAGGGCGCCCTACACTACGTTTGCATAGACGCGGTCTCCACTCCAGAACACGTCTACCCCAGCGGTCATCGGTTCTTCGACAAATGTGACCGGCCTACTGCCATTTCAGCTTGCTAATCCTTTGGGCTACATTGGTAACTTTAGTTCTCTGTCGGATCACCTCGTTACGGATCCTATCCTTCAGAGATACTCCGAGCATAGACCTCAATAAAAGCCTGAACCTCATAAAAGTAAGTACTGAGTATTAAATAATCTAAAGCAAGCGTGGTGATTAATGCTCATACCTTCTCCGTGTGAGAAGAGGCCTTTAGACTGTAGTCGCCACTCATAGGCTGTTGATGACGATTTGGTAATCCTAATGCTCTTAGTATTGTGAAACGATTTGGAATTGAATTTCTGCATGCTTCATTCCTGGCCAAATAACAGCTGTTGTTGCCATTCCAGGTCAATTTTGACCTGGAATGGCAACAACAGATTAGAAGCATATGCTTCTAATCTAAACTACCGGTATCAAACTAAACAAAAGAAGATCTACAACATGTATAGAAGTTAGTAACGCTAGCTCATTGAGGTACCTATTTGTCTTATCTTCTATCTGACCTCTTAATTGGGTACTTTCCTCGATAAAAATAAATTAATACGTCTGTTCAATACAAAAAGTGTAAAAAAATAATCACACTTTCATTGATTGATTTTATGACTTTTGTATTTTTTAAGCAAACTTTTAAGAAATACGTATGCTGTTTGACCCTCAAAAAAAAAGGGACGTTTCAATACAAAATTCATAGAAAACGGTCGTTTTTGACAATTCGAAAAAAGTATTGAATTTGACTAGTTTACAAGTACCCCAATATTGTGGCCTGCATAATTTAAATGGAATATTTTTTAATACTATTAATGTTCCTTGACGAAATAGAGAAATGGTCCAGTTATAGACTAGTCTGTCCTTTTTATAGATGACAGTTGAATAAATCGATCTGGAGACATTGCGATATAATAAATACATTCACTCGAATGTAGGGGAGGCCACAAATTACGTAAGAGACGCCCTTGGTTAAGTCAGTAGGTAAGTGGAACATCTTGTGGTTAGCAGCGTGAGACCGTCAAACCAACTCTAGCCCTAAGTAGGTAAGATTTTGGAGATTTGAACAATTATGAGTAAGCTCCCTTTTACATTTTTATTACAAGTCGTGTGGTGACGTTATAATAAAATGCATTTATTGTCACCATCATATACTTTTTTCACGAGATTCGTAGGAGTAGAGTGAAAGACTGCAAATTTTAAAAAGGTTGAGCAACAGCGTTCTTTGGCAAACTCGGACCTTATAGATGCGATTTCCAATCCATCTGCCAGGCGTGGCAATAGGGAAGATGCCTAATTTTTATTTTAATGTTCGTCTAGTAGATTATTTCAAATCATTAGACACGTATTTTTTATTTTCTTACAGAAACGAATACTTTCGACGATAATATATTGATTTGAAATGTCGCGTGACGTCACTTCTATGTAGGTACATTTTATACGTAGAAATGACGTTTTAGCCCCCACTTCTAAACTTTGATTTCGTTTTATCTAGGTATTGTTTTATTATACGGCAAAATAAAAATATACGTGTCTAATATTTTTTCATTACCTAACTTACGGACTAATTATATTTTTAATTTTCATACCCTATCATCATCCCAATTATGGCAAACCCCAGTAGGCAGAGAAGGTCCATAATTCTGCAGAAGAATGTCATGGGTTGTTCATTTCGTTGTCAACGTTATAGGTACGTCATCACTCAGACGTTTTTCAAAAAATGCAAATACAAACAATGCATCATGCATATCCTAGACCCAAGGTTTTTCTAGACTTAGAGTGACAGAAACATCTCCATTATTCATACATTTTGCAACTATAACCTCATAGACATTCATTTATTCTGAATTATTAAAAAAAAACTAAAAATGCAGTCATCGACGCCATTCCGTCTGTTGCCAACTAAGATTGATATTCCTAAAATGTGTGTATGTATGTAAGTAATTAGAATTACTTGACAATGTTGTCTCAACAAATAAAGAATTGCTATGTAGATCGGTATTTGTAGTTTGCCTTTGTTTTTATCGATACACATTGTTGTAATTCATCGATAATTATGTAGGTCATGACTAGCTTAAGTAGGTAGGTACCTATTGGTCTCAGATAATAATAGGTAAAGTTAGCCAGCTTTAACTAAGTACATAGTGGGCATCTCTACGACTTTACAAGAAGGAGATTATATTATTATGTTTTCGGCTTACTCACGTAATTATTTGACGAGGAACTCGGCAGTAGCAGCGTGACAGTCGCCGCGTCGCGGGTCGCGAAATGCTGCTCATGAATATGAGCCTCTAGTATGGCTTGAAACTAGTCGAGTTCCTCGTCAAATAATTACGTGAGTAAGCCGAAAACATAATAATATATAAGTATGTCTCACGAAAGTTATAATACAAATAAAGAAGGAGATTGATCCACCCACACTAAATAATTTCAAATTTAAGAATATTCTTGGGAACAACTAAGTATCAAAGATTGTTCTGGAAAATTTTGACATTCTTAATAAGTTAATAGCTACAAACACTGCAACTAGGAATTTAATCTCATTTGCCAATCCGATTTAAAATTAAATATAGTACAAGCTTAAATACAATTAAATGAAAATGAAACAGCAATTACGTTTAAATGAAAACCCAGGAAACATAACTCCTACGACGTCTAAATAAACCGTTAGGTACTAATCCTCGCCCACCAGTTTCCAGTACATTATGCATTAGGCAATATTTTGTTTAACTCAAGCCTTCAGAAACGCGACAAACAATCATTTGTTTTGTCTTTAACTCAAATAATGCAGGTTTGTTTAACCCAGCTATGACAATTTTCATTTGCTCAAATCATTCAAAGACGTTGCTTTGTTCTTAGGGCGTTTATACATCTTACTAACAGCAAGTTCAAAATTCTTGAAGTTTAATTAAATTGTTTACTTTATTGATCTAGTCCTCATTAGTGTGACTTTTTTATGGAATAGGAGGCAAACGAGCAGATGGATCACGTGATGGTAAGCGATCAGCGCCGCCCATGGACCCGCAACACCAGAGGAGTCACAGGAATACGTTCTTTTCTTTTCTTGACTTACATTCGCTGATATCAGGACTTGTACAGTTTTTTGATTTCTTAATATTGCTGTAAATATTAAGGAATCGGTTTGCAGGGAGCTACTGAATGTATTGAAGGTAGCTTCCAAACGGCTGATCTGAAAGTCATTGGGAAGGTCTGTATGCAGCGGTAGCTAGTCTCGTTGATGTTCGTGCTGGAGCAAGTTTATTCTTCTAACGTTTACTGCCGTGTCGTGTGTAGTCGCCTTTAATATCTATTTGCGTATGCCATAAAATACGCAGTAATTACTCCTTTGTGTAAACGCACTGTGCAAACTATTTACTTATTGTAGATTTTCATACAATTTTAAATAGTGAACTGATTGATTTATTACTTTTGCATTAATTTAAGAATGGAGTTCTATGGTCACGTTTTTCTCACTGGTCCTTAAGTAGTTTGTTTTCTGGAAGTTCTCTTTGCAGAGTCCTTGATGATAAAAGGTTATAGGTAGTAGCCTAGTGAAAAAATGCTCGGAGTTACCGCGACTCTCACGAAAAGATTTAGACCATAGAAATGTTTATTTTGTTTTTGATTTGAACAACATAATCCTACATAATATACAATTACCAGTAAAAATATAGATATAAAATAAAGAAGAAATGTCTTACAGGTATTTGGTAGAAGGAACCATTGTTGATTGTCCGATATGACGTCAGAGGCACCACTGGAACAGACCCGTTGCGGAGGAGGATTGGACCCTGAAGAGGCGTTACTGAAGGTTGACCCGAATCTGGAAAATACAATGAATAAAATGATGAAAATGAACTTGATGAACTTTGTTTTTTGGGTATGATATAACAGTTTGAACGAACATTGTGATTGAATGTGTGGATAGAAAGCATCTTATAGGATGATTGCTTGTGAGATATCTACTTTTAGTCCATTACTACCAAGTGATGAGAGAATAAGGTATGGTCGTACACGAGTAAAAACTCCATACGTTGCCCTATTTTTCACTCGAATTCTAATTCCGACTTTTTTTAAGCATCACAAGAATTTAAAAATTCTCTCAGACCTTCGTTATTCGATCTTGTCGGACACAGCATCTTATGTAGGCAATATTTAAAAAAAATAATTCTCAAAACACTATCCAAATTCAAAATTGAGTTTCTATTACTCAATCCTCAAAAAACATCAACCAAAATTCCGCACACATCTACAAAATGTAGATATCAAAATATGACAGCCAATTACAGAGTCGGAATGAGAAATTAAGAAATTATAGAGCAATTTGTATCGCATCGTTCGACTAACGCCAACACATCGATGTTCACTCGCATACTATTAGTTGTAAAACAACATAATTTCATCACTCGCTGTCTCGAAGGTGCGTCACCAGATCCAGGTCATGTTACGAAACGACTAATCTTCCACAAGTTAAGGCCATGCTTCAATGGCCTAGTGGATATGAGTAAGTGTTGTTAGGTAGCTAGCTTGTAGAACTCCTGTGCATCATGCCATTATTTGAAGTCATGTAGGTATTGTTGTAGCTTTAGAAATTGGACTTGGTTGAATGGTATGTCAGCTAGTATAAATAGGTTTAGAAGGTGGAACATGGTTCTTTGAAATAGTCGCTGAGAACAGTCTGTAGTTATGCTTAGTGTTTAGTAATAAGCTTTCTCTTAAAATAAGTCTAATAATGCCATACTTCTGACTGATCTGGTGTACGTGTTAAGCACAGTGCGGACCGTGCCGTAAATACAGATTGAGATAAATAAGAGGCTAAATTTTACCCACGTAAGTGTAGCTTCTTCCTTATTAAATTTGTCATACGTGACGCAGTAAGATCTTGCATTTAGGTAATGATCAAACTTTCTTTAAAAACCGCAAGACTACGAAATTATGTAAACTCATCGCTACTTATGTATGAGATTAAAATAAATAAGATTTCCGTTTTTAATCAGAAGTCGTTGCTAAGCACGATTGATATGTTAAATTATTTATACATTTTATTAATCGGCTATTCAAACAAAGACTAAATACCAGCATTAATTAACCATATCTAATGATTACATAAATTATTGTCAACGTGTCAAATCCAAGCATGGGACCAAGAATTAAGCCCTGTGGGACTCCAATTCCTATCACAAAGACTAAACTCACAAGTTCGTAGAAATAAAATCGTTTCTAATTTTAATTTCCTCTGCATATCTTGATTTGGTCATACTAATCTATTCACAACTGCTACTATTGCATACATTAGGTTAATTAAGCAGTTCATTTTCAATTCAATCAATGTACTCAAATCAGAATACATATTTCTTAAATTCATTCCATTAACGACTACAGTTTACTCACGACTTGTATACTAGATACGGTGCAAACCTGTTTACTGTATCGCATAAATATAATAATGCAGTTTATGGACAAAGGTTTGATGGTCAACATTATCCAAAGCTTTAGAGAAGTCCAAGCAATACTTTGTATTGACAGGAATTTTAATTAAGGTTTGTGATAATAAGTTACAAATAGATTCCACTACTAATTGGAAGATCATAGGTTGAAATCATGTTCCCAATACTTACTACTTAGTTTATTTAAAGAGGTTAACAAGAATATTTCTGAAATGTGCTTCGTTGTGAGTGTTAATCAAATAAAATCTAAAGAGCTTGTAGCTATTTCAAATGTTGCGAATTACTTAATGCACTAAAAATGTAGAATAATTTTAACGAATAAAAGTAAACAAATAAAACACTTGGAATTAATTATGTAACCAGTGAAGTATTATTTTTATATATTAATTATCTTCAATGTCAATCCCGTACAATGAACTGGTCTATATGAATTTTGCGGATCGTGATTTTAATAAGAATGTTAAAAACGGAATCCATCTTATTTACTAAATTGCCTTTGCTATGCGGAGGTTTGTCATAATCTTTTACAATATTATAATAATTAGTAATTATCATGTATCAGTTGATAGTAACCTGTGACCAGTGATGCTGAATATTGTGGGAGAGTCATGCTTCAGCACAGATGGGTCAGCCCGAGCCGAGTGATACCACGGCCTCACAGAAAACTGGCGTTGCGTTGTGTTTCGTCGTTTGAGTGAGGTTACCGGAACCACAATTAGCCCCCTTCCCCAATGTCCCCAATCTCATCAAATTCTCCAATTCCCAATTCCCAAGAGGCCGGTCACGCACTTGTAACGCCTCTGGTTTCGGGTGGCAATGTGCGGCGCCGATAGCTTACCATCAGGTGATCCGTCTGCTGTTTACCGACTTATTGCATAGAAAAAAATATTACCTACACATATTTCAAGGGTTTCGTTATAGACTGATTTGACTTTGATCCTATCGATAGAGAATCCTAAATAATCTTCTTAAGAATAAGAATACATATTAAGTAAACACTAAATAACTTGAGGTAAAAGCAAGATGAAAAACTAATTTATTTTCCAGCTATCAAACACCCGGTTTCATTTCATTACATATGCAGCACCAATTTGCAGTGACACCAAACAATCCATCGGTAGAGAACAAAGAACCGAACAGGACATTAGAATGTTTAGTACCATTGAACTTATTTATTGTGTGCGCGTGCGCTGTCGTGACTGTCGTTGCACTAACCGCCGTTTGTGGTTCCGCTCACGTTTCAATTTAATTATGCCCAATTAATTTATTGAGATTTTCGTTGACAAGTTGCCTATAATTAAAATTATCAATGTCTATCTGCGGTCAAAGTGTCTATAATTACTTCAATGAAAAGTTCATTCTATATTTTGGACCCAAGAGTTTGAAATGAAAATTAGACAAATAAGACCGATCAGAAGATACCAAACTAGACCTTCTACCATTAGTAGAAAACAGACCTAATTCAGACTCAGTTCCGATTCCAGTATTTAGTTTGGAGGTGGAGAGGTGGAGAGGAGACTCGGAAAAAAGCTAGGAAAGCAGTACCTACATTATTTCATCAACGAAAACAAACAAACTACCGTTGCAGACTAAAGCCACGCTATACACAATATCATAACATTCATAACATAATAAAATTATATGCAATAATGTGCTATGACCTTCGTATTGAACTTGAGCATAAAAAGGGCTATTTAATGCTTGACATAACAACGTCCGCAGATAAAAAAATATAAGCACCTATCGAGTAACTTCCGACTTACGTTTTCCTTCCTAATGATCGATCAATTAGGAATTTTAATTCGAGATTGCGTAATATTTAGTGTAAGATTGATTAGTTAGATGTGAGATCCTGACTTTGAGTATAAAGCCTGTTTGGTGATTTTGATATTTTTTATTTAGTTTTTTTAATAGCGGTGGTAACAACGACTCTATTTGTAAAAAAATCCACGATAACTTTCAGATCGGTGGGTCAGATACGATCTACATCCAACGGCTCGTTGAAGCCTCCATTAACCTATGTACCTCATGCTTGGAATATGTTGTCCTCTGTAATATTGTCTGCTGTATGGTGTACATGAAATGATAAATAAATAACTAAACAATCTCTTGTAAGTCTGTATTTGAGACACAATAGAAAACGCATTGTATTTCGCGTTGATCTACGCTCCGATATACCAGTTAAGGCATCTGACCACCTTGTGAGTGAACATCCTGTATTGCGCTTGTGGGTACAACGAAACTGTCTCATGGAAAATTACAATTTCCGATCAATAGATATCGAGGTTCAAATCAATCGTATAACCTTGCTTTAGTTAACGATTCGATTCTCAATGTCATATAATTTCCACACGCATACAAATTTACATTTAAAAGATTGCCAACGCACGATCGGAAATGATAGAAGTGGTTCACATAACTCATGTCAGTCAGACAACTGCTTCGTTTCATAATAAATAGTAATATCACGTTTCTTTCGAGGAACAGTTGAAGATGCATTGTATGTACCTATTTGTACTTATCTACTATATAAAAATAAGTCTGGTTTTCCTTTCTGACGCTATAACTCCAGAACGCACGAGCTGATTTCCACGGTTTTGCATTCGTTGGAAAGGTTTCGGGCTCCGTGAGGTTTATAGCAAAGAAAATTTAATAACTTAAAGAAATATAACATAAAACGAAGCCATCTGGTGGTGAAACGGAGTTCGCCGGGTTTGCTAATGCTGTGTAGAAGAAATATCGCTCTATTTGCCACTTTTGACTATATTCGTCGTTCGAGTAGCCATTAGGGCGATTTCTGAGGGGGCATTCCAGTGTGGGCCGTAGGGATAGGTACTAGAGTTTGTCGGACATGTGAAAAATTGTCAGTAATTGCATGAAGTTAGGAACGGTGCAATGGAATAACAATGTTACATAGGAATCTTTGAAAAGTGGTTGTTACCTACATTGCAAATCAGTAAATAGCACCTTTGCCTAACTTTTTTTTTATAGCATAAGCCGGTAAACGAGCAGACGGATCACCTGATGGTAAGCAATCGGCGCCACTCATGGACACTCGAAACACTAAGGCGTTACAAGTGTGTTACCGGCCTTTTGGGAATTGGGATTTTGTCCTCAAAATCCCAATTCTTTGTGGAGAATTCGGGGATTCGGGAGACGGGGACTTGGGAGGGGGATAATTGGGCCTCCGGTAACCTCACTCACACGACGAAACACAACGCAAGCTAATTATTCAAATTTATAAAGCCCTGTGTCAATCGATAATCCAATACTGCATTACTTCTTGGGGTGGAAGTGGAAAAACATTGATACTTCCAATCGAACGAGCCCAAAGAGCCATCTTGAAAGTCGCCACGCACAGACCGTACCGCTACCC